TGGACAGGGGGTGGGGGTGGGGGGTTGGAAGAGAGGTGGATAAAACGAAAATGAAAATGGGGAAAAAAAAAAAAACGCGTCGAAATTACCGCCGAAATCGATAACGCCCGGCTCACGTTATTTTACCTGTCGCGGTGGCGCGGCCGGCGGCGCGGCGCTGGTGGTGCGGCGTGACAGGACCGCGCGTGCGTGCGCGCAAAGCGGCGCGTGCGGCGCGGCCGGGGTCAACGAACTCGCGGAGAAACGCGCGCGTGTACGACGGCGGCCGCGGACGACGGCGGCCGATCGCGGCCGCCGCGAGTACGTCGACCCCGGCGACGCAACAAAAGCCGCTTTGTGTCGTGCGGCGGCGGCGGCGGCGGCGGCGTTCGCCGGCTCGCTCTTTCGCCCGGCCGCCGCAGCACAACAATAATCCAACGCGTTAACGCAGAACGGCGTCGTTACAACGCGACACTCGCTCGCACGCCGGCAATTACGCCGGGGACAGCCGCGCGGCGCTCGGCCGAGTCGCCAAAGCGAGTCCGGTGCGCACTTTCCGTTTTGGAAACGGCTCGCGCGTCATCCGGCAATTCCCGGCGTAGGTTTTCCCCGGTTCTGGTCGGCCGACTCGGACCCGCGCCCGGTCGCCTCTGCCGATCCGGCGGAGACGCCACCGACGTTGGTCCGGTGAAACGCGAACTGCCACTGGAGGTTATCTGTAGCCTCTGTGGTTTTAAACGCGGGGTCCCGTTTCCCGCGAAACACGCACAACCCGGTGTCGCGTCGTCTCCTGTCGGTTCGTCTTGAGGGCGAATCGATCCGTTTCCAATTGTCCGCACCCTGTCCGTTTCCTTTTTTACCGAACCGCCCGACGGTTGTTTTTCTTTTTATTAATTTTCATGGAAATATACTGAACACCGTACTAGAATGAGTCGCTATCCTACCAGTAAATTTTACTGGACTGCGGTTTTCCAATTATTAAGAAAGCAACACGGAGTTTAGAAAAAAAAAAAAAACGTCTCCTATAAGCACCGACAAGACGAAATTGCCCGATTTACTTTCGGACTTACTTCGCGTGTCGAGAATCGGAATCCGTGACCGAAAAGAAAATAATATTGTAGTGTTATACCTGTGAATCGACACCACCACGTTTGATAACCGTGAAATTCTGTGAAGTTATTCGTAAAAGAAAATATCCACCGCCGTAATATTATGGTTTTTTTATTTTTTTTATTTTGCCATTTACATAATAATATTATTATTATTTATTTTTTGTGAGAATACAATACGTGACGTACACTCGGCGTGTACTCAATTGTGTGCGGGAAAAAATCCTTATCAAATTAAATCCCTAGCCGGATGTTGATTGCAATTTACATAATTTATTATTATAAATTATACATATTAACAGATGTATTTTCAAGAGGAATGATTTATATTTTGAATTTGAAACGCTTACAATCTCCACGTGGTTTGTACCTATGGGAAAAATGTCAAGCAAATGCGAAAGTCAAATTAAAGACTTTAAGATATTTGCAAGTATTTCATAACAAAATACGGAACAATAGATCATTTATTTTTCCTAGATTCGTATTTCGATAGTACTGCGATTCGCACTTAGCTCTAATTATTGAAAATACGCCAGAGACGAGAGACTTGGCTTACGAATTTCGTAAACTAACTTACAAATACTTTCAAATGAAGATCTTTAACTTACAATCGGTCCGGTTCGATTTGATCGATATGGGAGGGGGTATTGCTCGTGGTAAATAAACAATATAATACAACAATTCGTTACAGCAATATCACGATGATGTATAGGTATACGTAATTTCATTAAATGTGTAGTTATTTAACCTTCTGTGTCCACCATTTCATCAACCCCACATATATCAGGGTCTACGCCTTTACCCGCCCCAATATGGTCTTTTACTGTAATTTCTTCGTATCTCTTCGAGCTCAGTCTAAAAAGAGAACTTTCTTTCTCGTGACAATCTTTCTTCTATTATAAATGCTGTGAGAGTTCGTTTGGATGTACGGGTGTATATTTGTTAACACTTCTCGCCCGATCTACTGAATGGAGATTGGGCTAAAACTTTGCACGGATGTAGTGTTGTACGGATAAAATAAATAATACCAAAAAATAAATAATAAGGTTGTCGACGGAAGTAGTAATAGCTGTCGTACAACGAACGGCATAGTTACAGTAGAAACGGGTTACTTAGTTCATTTTTGGACAGTAATTAGAACATTGAAATGTCATTTATAGGCATAGCGTTAAAGCGCCAAAACGGGGAAACACGGTTTTTTTCTCTCGTATTTTTTTTCGTTCAATACTAACACGGAAAAAGCCGCGCGGAACAGCTGGTATTTAATACTCGACTTATAATACCAGAAACCGAGTGTCAATTATTACCCTTAGGGATTGAATTCCGGGACAAAAAATAGCCTATATAGTACGTCCGTCTCTTTGAAGTTTTTTTTAAACGATGGTTTATACAGCATATTGTAACAAATCGGTTTAGTATAGTGGTAGAGCTTTAGCAGAAAAAAGATACGGACATACTACGCACAATGGATGGGTCACGGTTATAGACGAGAAGTTTTGAAGGTAGGATATAGTTGGGGATTTAATGTATATCTACGTACGTAACGATTAGTCTTTATTCTTTGCAAACGAAAAACGATTCTGAGCGGAGTTCGGTTCTGAAAGGCTGTAATTTTTAAGATTTTAACATAAAACTTTTCGTACATTTTCCGGTTTTCCTACCTTTCTTCCCCGGTTTTTGTCATTTATTATGAAAACAGCCGGGAAAATCACAAAATGACCTTTAATTGTACCACTCCAGTCAAATTTCCTTTCAGGAAAAGTGCTAAAATTTGGAAAATCCGGAATGAAATTGCCGGTAGAAAAATTGCAGGTCCACAGAAAAAAAAACACTATTGTAAAACAAATACATTCCTCGCTCCGCTCAGAATCTGAAATATAATAAACACAAACGAACACGTCATACAAGAAAAAAAATCAGCTATACAAAACAAATGTTTTTGACATTTTATCGAACGTTTCTCGTTGGACAATCGGATTGCCGAATGCTAAACATAATGTTACGTACCTACGTACAGGTATATATTATGCAACGTAAAGAGATTTGTTACCTATAATGTTATTTATTATCCGAAACCCCGAGCTATACAAACGACGCGAACGTGAATTTTTTTCACAGTTAATAATAATATACTCGTATTCGTATATATGCTTGTACCATATGTGCACGGTTTTTTTTCCCCGTATCGGTTTCCTATAATTTTATTGTAAACACGCGCCTCGGCGATAATTGTGTTTACAAAAATGTTTTCGACGTGTGGAATAAAAAAAAAAAAAACGCGAAAACAGAAACAGTCAATAAAAAATAACGCACTGTACGACGCTTATAAAACGATAAACATTTTCGACGGACGAGTCGAAGAAATAGTACACGGAAATTGATATTATTGTACACGGCGTGCGGTCCGACCGTTGCCTTAATATCACACGAATGGTCTGAGCAATGTCGTATCGGCACGAAGCAACCGCGCCCCGAAACGAGCCGGTAATACATCGGAAGTAGTATTATTTTTTTTTTGCGGAAGGAAAAACGCCATACCCAGTTTGTTGTTTCACGTTTACGTGGCGACAATTCGAAAAATCTTCAAAGTGCGCTTAACCCGTAGACACATTAATAACGGATACCGACATCACCGAGGATCTCGTACTCTGTGGTCGTCGAGGGATGATAATATACGTATTATACGGAACCTCTTTATCGTTGGTAGGCCGATGATTGGTTCACCGGCTCAAAAATACCGCGCTGACGGCCTATCCGCGTAGTCGGTGTCCACGACCGCCATAGATGACGGAATAACGGCAATTTCTATACCAGGCCCGCACACATTCTCGTTCGTAATCGGGTGATTACAACGTTCGGTACGGCGAAACAACGCAATCGCCCAAAGGCCGGAATCGAGCGCCCGGCTCTGTGCGGTTCGCGGTATACCATAGGTTTTGGTTGCCGAATGTTACCGAAATTAAAACGGCCGACCGGGACGCGGCGACGAAAGGCACACGACCGCGCCGGAATAGCGCCTTGAATAAAAATCGTTTTTCGCTGCCGACGATACGTAATAATGTTAAATTTTCCTGTATACACGGGGCCTATTTTCCCGATTTCGTACCTACGACAACGGCACACCCGCGGTACGAAGTATGTCGGGTTTTTTTTTTTTTTTGTTAATTTACCGAGCTCGAGTGATCCGGTTGTTATTACAGTACATAATTATATCTACGTGTACCAGCACTCGAGAACGACTACGTTCATACTTCTCGAGTCCGGCTCTAACGATAATAATATCAATAAACAATAAACATCTACTCGAGTTTAATACCCGCATCAGTTCCCTAATAAACTGTCAGTCGTTAAGTATAGTGATACGCTATTCGTATTGACCAAACTTTACTTTTTTTTTTTTTTAACGAACGTGAAACCTCGGACCACGTCGTCTTCGGTTAACACAAGTGTTACGAGTGTTTTTCCAACGGTAGAACTGAATAATATTACACTGCGGGTATCGCCGAAGCGTCGACCGCAAACAAACGTCAACTACTCGAAACGGAACGGTTGTTAAATAATTTTGGTGGTGATGTCGTACGCAAACATCACCGAAATCTACCAGTAATCTAGAAAATGTAAAAAAAAAAAAAAACCCCGACCGATAAACACGTACGATACATTTATATTTATTAAGTGTGTATGTATACCCTTTATAACTCTTTTACAAATATGACGTGACAGTTATTGGAGTTTATCCTTTACTCGAAAGGCAGTTAAACGAAGAGTGGTGCCGATCAATACGTCCATCCTTGCTGTAGTATATATTATAACTAATACTGAATATACATATCTGAGGCTTGGTGCAAGAAGGACCAATGTCACATATGTTCATAATATGAAATTAACTTTGAAATTTGAATTCCCCGTAAGACCCTGTGTTTTTTTTTTATATATTTTTTACTTGAGAAAATAAAAAAATTGTACATTTTTTTTTCTGGCTGACTTTTTCAAAAAATTGATAATAGTCCTACTTGTACCAAGCCGTAGATATATGTGTACTTTTTAAACACTGAGTATAGCGAAGAATCTATTAGTTTCACTAAGACTAGGTTCAGTTAGTAAAAATGCTCCGGTTTTTCGTGTCGTGCATTCAAAAACGCGGAATTTTTACCCGCGGTGACACTTGAGTTAAAAATTAATGTTTTTAAATCTCCGAAATTATAAACAATTTTTTAAAAAATACCGACAAAAAATGACGATTATTTGATTTGATTTTTATCGATTTCTGGGCGACTAATACTAATACTAAACAGTAAAAGTTTACCGACCTTGGTTCAGAGCCGAATATTTTTTTTTTTTTCAATGATGAATTCTCGATTTTCGCGTATAACTAAATAACTCAAAATTCCAAAACCTTCCAAACTATTTACACCTACCAAAATGGCTTGTCCGTGGTGTGAATTCTGCACCTTGCATTCTCATTTAATATTATTTCGTCGGTTTCGTTTAGTTTTATATTATTATTATTGAAAAGGAGTCACATTGAAATCTATCGAATTTCGTAATAAAAATAATTGAAACGGTTTGTTTTTTGTAAGGTTTTCGTTGCGGGAATCGTCGTTGTTCTTATGAAAACACGACGGAATTGGAAAACATAAAATTCACGAACCATCTAGTACCAAACGCAAACAAACAGTTTTTGTTTCTTTTTTTTAAAAAAAAAAAAAAATAGAACGCTCTAAAATATCCAGAATTCCATTAAAATATTCATCGTGTATATCAAAATGTTTTTATAGGCTTAAGGTTACCGAAAACGCAAATACGTGTGAACAATTGCGGACTTTTGGAATAATATTTTCATTTCGTTGAATAACAATAATTGTCCATGCGGCAGAAGTGGTCAAATGGTTTCGTCTTAAGAGGAGTGAGGAGGGGGGGGATTAAGACAGTTTCTTTAATATTTTTTTTCAACAATTGTTATAATTCGCATTATTTATATTTTTTATACAAATAAATAGGTAATAATGGTAATATGGTAAATATATTATTATAGATATCGAAAGGGAAAAGGTGATTGTGGTTGGGGGTATTTCACTCACCCCTCCTCATACATTAAACGGAAATTAAAATTCTAAGTTTTAACTCAATACACAATATAGTTCGGAAAAAAAATTGTTGCGCGCGGAAGTTAATTAGAATAAATTCTAAATGGAATATAGTAAATAACACATAGACGTGCGCAGTTTAATTGCGCATGTAAAATATTATTATTGAAACGTAGTTCCGCGTAATAAAATTGTAGTTTTCGTTTTATTTCATTTCGGACCGCTCACTGTAATAAATTACAAACATATGTGATGTTCCTAAAAATCGCCAAACACGAGTAATGCTTACCAAACGTACATTGATGTCAAGATGGTTGCGTGTGTAATAAATAAAAAACGTTTTTTATTATGTTAAATTAAATATTAGGTAATATTAAATTTGCATTATTTGAAAAAGAAAAAAATACTCAAGATTAAACGGTTTAAGAATAAAAAAAAAACGAGAATTTTGGCATAGTGTAGAAGTCAGATGGGACAAAATGATATGGCATTTAATGCGTCACGATAGCTTAACGAAATGCAGCATAGGAGGTGACTTATAAACCTAAGTCGATATTATGGTATCGCAAGCATAAGCGTACGCCTTTCCCAAATCAAAGTTATAATATTTATTACGGTATCCTAGTAATTGCGGTATCCATCGATGGACTCGAATGTGTCGGCCGAAAGTTAGCTTAAATAAATCAAGATCGGGTATGTACCATCTCTGCGACCACAGAGACCGTTGGGTTTTCATTTACTTGGAAGGGAACGGAGTACTTTTAAGCAGTGTTGAGAATAGATTACGAAAATTTCATCTAGATAAGATACAGATAATTTTCAGATATTTTTAATGTTTTCAGTTTTCAAATTTATAGCATACGCGAATTGTTGAAATCTTCAATCGTAATTCATTAATACCATTATTGATTATAAATAGACACTAGTATTGATAATCAATGATACCATTAATAAAATCACGATAATATTATGATATTATTTGGGCTACAGTAATATTGTATTATAATGTGTGGCAGTTGATCGCTCGCGTCCCTATCATCAGAAATGCGCATCAATAAAATAAATTTAAAATCCGCGATTAATCACTTAACGTGTAAGCCACTTGAATGTTTTTACTATGTGACAATTTCAAGTCAAGACTCAAGACCCATTTATACCCTCAACTTTGAACAATGAATTACCTATACATTTTATATCTATTACCTATATAGTACCTATAGTACCTTTTTAATTAACAATTAATGCTGTCGACCATTTTTGAGTAAAAGAGTAGTAAAATAACATCTCAAAGTATCAACTATATAAAATTGGCTAGTAGAACATGAACATATAGTTATATTATAAGTATATGTACTAATTGAATAGTGTTCTGATAGAACAAACAAATTTAGTAAATAAAAAATGAATATGTTTTAAATAAAATTTATCTAGATAAATAAATGTATCATCTAAGACAGAGGTTCCCAAACTTTTTATCGTACGACCCATTTTGAGAAATTTTAAAATTTGGCGGCCCACAATATCAACGAATGACCTTTTTTTTGCTGACATTTATCACCTCGATTCGTCCATATGTAACGTACAAAATCAATCATCTGAGATAAGCCTTGCATATCTGTGGACTCGTCTAGTTGTAATGAGAACCATGTACTCAAATTAACTCTTTTGATCAGTTTATATTCTACCCATTCAGAAATTTCGTCGATTCTACGCGGAACTGTATTATTTGAAAGCGATAACTTTTCAACTTCTATTAAACTTTTTTGATCAAACATGATCCCGACTGCGTCTTTTATTGATGGTAAAATTAAAGACTCACCAATTGTGTGAGGCTTACCAGTTTGAGCAATTTATAAGTAAACTTATTTTATATGAGGCGTACGTAGCTTTTTGGTTAATTGCAGTAAAATTAAAAATATTATTTTTTGATGTTTTTAGAGATTCTAGTTTTCTTCCATAAAAATNTTCATTTCTGGATGGTTCGTATCTATATGTCGATGTAGTTTGTTTGGTCGCATACTCTTATTTGCAAGTATGTATACATCCACAAATAACACATTGTGGACGTGGGTGTTCTTCGTCTCCATTCCACGAAAATCCAATTCGCAAATATTCAGAACAATATTTTCTTAAAGAATTTTTTTGTTTCGACTCAGAAGAACTTGTTGAAAGCTCATCGTAATTAAATTTTCTTTTTTTAACTGTTGACGTGTTGACGCAGATATTGTTTCTGTTTTTTCTTAACTTTCAGTCATTGATTATTTGTTTAACCATTTGTCCATAGTTGTACAAAAGTACAAAGAAAACTAATTTATTTGAGAAAAAATAAAATAAAATATACAACTGCGTACATGTATTATATTCAATGTACCGCGTGTAACTGAAAATAATCAAAAGTTTTGAACGTCGTGCAGATACCTACCAATTTGTGTGTTCTGATAAATCATTTATCTTTTCAATAATTATTAATCTAGTTGCGTCGTTTTGACTCGGTCGCTGTAAACTCGTAATCGTCACACTCACAGATAACGATTGACGATAAAACTGAATNTGAACAACAACGAAAAGTAATAGATGTTTAAGAAATGTAATATTTAAAAATATAACGCGACACACCAAAAATATCAATTTTGGGTCGCGACCCACAGTTTGGGAACCTCTGATCTAAGATAACCAATAAAGAAATGACACAATAATTATCTAAATAAAAAAATACATAAGTAATTTTGTATGTGGATAATTCTCAACACTGCATTTAAGTGTTTCTGATGTGATCTAGAAAGATATGGTGACCTTAAATTGAGACGAAATTTAACTCAGAATATATAGTCTAGGTATGGAAAGCCGAATAAAACAATGAATTATTTCATGAACTGTTCATTCATCATACGATAAAGAACTTCCTGGGCTTCGTGTATTGGAAAAAAGCGATCATTAGGTAATTGAATACCTGGGCTTCGTGTATTGGAAAAAAGCGATCATTAGGTAATTGAATAACTTGGCAATATTTAAATTTACGTTAGACACATGCAAACTCCCGTCTGGTAGTGAGGTATGATATTCCATTGTAACTTATTTATATTTATTTTTATGGAAACGTAAAAAAAACCAAAACTGCTTCTATAATAGTAGGTATTTATCAGATTAATTACACACATATTATTTCTTGTTCACGCTGATTATTTTTTAGTAAAATTATTATTTTTTTTTTAAAGCAAAATTGAAAAACCCGATTTTTATTTATTTTCAACTCTAATGTAAAATACGAGGGCTTATCAAAAAGTATCAAGACTGGTAGTATTATTCGGAAAAGGAGCATCGAAGAGCAGTAGGATTGGTATCACTTGCTTCTATGACTTTTTCTGAGTACATTTGTTTTTATTGCTTCTCTATAAAATTCTTCGGTTTGATTTCACTAATATTTTTGNCGATTTTGTAATAAACCCAAAAGAAGAGTAACTTGACAGATTTGGAGATTTTAGAAAATTTGTCTGCATCTTTTTCCAGTTTCGGAGGGACGCAACATTTCATGGTTTTTGCCATTAAATGTCAATTGAAAAACTGAAAATGTGCCCTCGATTGGCGCTTTTTTTGGCTTCATTACGAAATCGCCAAACGTGAAAAACAAATTTTAGAAAAATATCGTCAAATCAAAACGTAGAAGTTTATCTTAGTTTAAGAAAACTTAGAAAGAAGAGATCTTATACGAATAGATGTGTTCAGTATAAGTCATAGAAACTAGGTTTACAAATCGTTTAGCTCTTCAACGCTCGGTTTCCGAGTAATATTATCAGTCTCGATACTTTTTGATTAGCCCTCGTAGTTATGATTGCCAGTTATATTAAATTTTAGTCCATATTTAAAATCCGATATTACCCATAAAAACATGAAATTTGAGCATTAAAAATTGCTCGTATATTTTTAACATACCTATTAAAGGTATACTTTTAATTGAATCATTTTTTTATTTTTCCTTTTTAGTAGTATAATTTTGTGGATGTTTATTTAAGACTTTTGAGGGTGTAGAGAAGAAATATTGATATTTTAACTAATATAACTGTCACTGCTTCGCTTTTTCGTTACAAATATTTATCGTTGTGAGCTTTAAAATTATATGTTTCCAATTTTTATTGCTATTTAGATCAATGTTTTTGGTTGCCTTCTAAAGTTTTCACGACATCAATTTGGTGTACGACAATACTCGTTTGATGGGGAATGTCTCTTGGAAAGTTTCAAAAACCATATATTACTCCGAAACTTTTTGACGTATGTGGGGCGTATATTATTAAATTGTTTGTTGTTAGGATTGCAACTGACCGCTGTGCCTCTCCTCGTGATTTCGGTAGCAGGGAAACACGACCCCCGTCGTCGGCTTCATTGAAAATTCGGGACAAACGGACAATCATTTTCTGACCCCGGTGTAGTAACCGGTCTGCGACGTTGTCGACCCTCGGGGTTTTGTGTAATTTATTTCGAATTTCTTCCTATAATTCGGTTTCAAAATTTTACTTTAAATCTTATACTACATAACATATCCTGCGAGAATTCGGTCGTTAATTATAAGGGCGGCCGATCAGCACTTATGGATTATTCCCGCATCGCTAAATTATTTCCGAGGTACAGGTAACCGAAGGCATTTCACAGGCACACTATTGGTATACATTTTTAAATTTGATATGAAAATTCCGTTAAAACGTTTTTTGTCAATACGGAAAATATTATGACTAGTTAATAAAAGTTAAACACATCGTCCAAAGACGACACAATTTATTATATTTTGTGAGCCTCACTAAAATTTTTTTCATCCACCCTACTTATTATAGAAGGACAGTGGCGAAACCTGCCGGGGGGTTTCGGGTGTTGTAACCAGGGACTGGAACCTTTACGAATTTAAGAGTTTTGGTTTAGTTTCGGTTTTCAAAAATATAGAATTTCGATTTCAGTTATTAAAACAAAAACTAAATACTAAGGATATACCGTCGAGTTCCGGTATTGTGATTTTTAAAAATGTTTGGTCTTTTAAGGTTGTAACCCGAGAAGGAAAGTGAAAAGCAATAAGTTTACATGGTTGTAACCCCTTAAACTACCTAGACCTCCCTAACCCATCCATTTGGTAACTTGATCGATCCTTTTAATTTCTTTATTTTTTTTTAGTTTACCAGTAGATTTGATGTTATCATCAACACCATCAGTGGAGAATATTTTAAACCGATTTTTGTCAAATTGGGCCATGTAGACGTCATAATATTTTATAGTTCTTTAAAATTTGGATAACGGGAAAATATTCACCGAATACGCAGTACAATTTTCAAAATATTCTATATCTTTTTGTTTAGGTACACATTAAAAGCTATTTAATTAAAATATTCGCAGTGTTTTTTTTTTTTTTTTTGGTTTTTTTGATGACTTTTTATGGCTCCGTGTTTTTATGTTAACGGTATAGTATAAAAATATCTCACACCGGGTCGTATTTTTCTTCTTTGGTTTAATAATTTCAAACTAATTGCAAATTAAAATATACAACACAGACCACCTGATATATGATAAAACATTAACTACGTTGCACAATAATAATATCCCGAGTGAGACCTCAGGATTTAATTTGTTCGTTGTGTAACACACTACATTATTATGTTATATTGTACTTGGGTATAGTGAATTAATAATATGTATTATAATTTATAAGTCACGATAAAATTAGAAGAAAAAAAAAAAAAGACGTCTCGGTGGAAAACTGAAAAATCGTATCCGACCTTATAACTTATTAAAATTTACGTTCCCGCGATGCGCCTATCTTCTTTTCTAATAACAATAAAAGAGGGCCCGGGTTTTTATAATACTTTCAAATATACAGTATGCAGTGTGCGTATATGCATGGTAATATCATAAAAGTCAATGTGTGTGTGTACGTGTAGTGTGCGATACACGGTTGAATTTATCGTACCCAGAGGTCTGAAAATGTTCATACAGAAGCGAGCGAACGAGCTTGTGAACGCTTGGGAACCGTATTTCCAAAATTCAATCACTAAAGTGAAACTAACCTAGAACTTTTGATATTGAATTATACGAAAATATTGAAGTTTTTTGATTTCTTGGATTGCGATTTGCTTTTTGACGCGAAATTCAAAATTAAAAAAATCCGGGCTTATATTATGTGAGTAGTCGGTATTAATGACCAAATTAAAAAAAAAGGAGTATAAATAACTTCACCCGGTAACAATGGCCCTACACCGAACTCCGTGTACATAAACATCAATGTTTTTCTGTATATCCCTTCCGCCTTCCTAAACCGTTCATCCGATTGACATGAAATTTTCGGAAGTTGTTGAGTACATTCCCGTGAAGGTTTCCAACGTCATAGTACATTTATGAAATACTTCGATAACTCCGTTATAGCCCACAAAAACCGGGTTTCAGGTGCTTTTGGTATAAAGATAAAATAATTGTTTTATTTTTGGGTTACCTTGGTAATATACGGATGCAAAACAAGTATTATTAGTTAACTGGGGTTGTCATGTGCAAATTCGTATTATGTCTATGGTATATATTCTATGAGTGTGTTTGTGTGTAGGTAACTACGTATTATTTTGTCGTGATTGTAGAGAAAATATTTAATTTTAATTGCGGACGAAGAAATCAATATTGTGTAAATTCCAGTTCATGGGTGATATAAGGCATACGTAAAACATACGATATTATAAAACATACACATCTTCATTGATTTTTCGAACACTGCATCGTCGACAGTTATGGCTCCCAAACGGAAATCGATTGG